AGTTATTTCCGCTAGCGCTTGAACAAAAATTCGCGTGACCTACTGTCACAAATTCGAAATATGTGACATTAGAGATTCACCAACTTGATATGCACCAATAAGCTTTCCTTTAACATTCCTATAATAAACATAATGAATAATCTTTGTTTATCAAAACTTTTATTCTTGTAATAGTGACATTTTATTTACAAACCTAGCCAAAGTATAAAATGATTCTTTTATGTCAATACTTATTCCAAAAGTGGGCTTGGTATTTAGATTTACTTTCTCTGGCATTAGCTTTTGTTGCTATATGTTATAATAAAACTTAGATTTAAACAGGTTTTATAAAAGATTTTTCACTTAAATGCAACATATTTACCTCATGTGTATTCGAATCTATTAACCTCTTTTTAACATCCCTAAAATTGAATGTAAAGTTAAAAATATGTGATTACTGACATACAGTAATTAATTTGTAATATAACTGTCAAACCTGGCCAAAGTAAAGAATGCCTCTTCAACGTTGATATTAGCCTCGGCACTTGTTTCTAGAAATTTTATTTTAAGTTCATCTGCAAGTGCCTGACCTTGTTCTTTAGTGATTACCTAAAGATATATATAAACAATCATAAGTCGAATTTTTTGAAATATCTCTTTCAATTATAAAATATTTACCCTTTTTTCAATTTCATGACAATTATTCCCAATAAGAATCTTATTGACTCCTTCACTGGCATGCTGCTCTATATTTGAAAACCAGTTTCTTATGTCTAATTAATCATAAATAATAATAATAATAATCATGAAATCATAATAATAATCAAAAATAATAATGAAACATGTATATATATAGTAAAAAATTTTTTTAAAGTATAGCATTAAAAAAAAGGATACTATTGAAAGACCTTTCGTCGGTAACATCATATACTAACAGCAAACCCACTGCACCGCGATAATATGCTTTAAGATAGATTATTTAGAAAAGTATAAAAACATTAGTATAAGAGAAATAATTATAAAGACCGCTTAGCAAAAATAATTAAATGAGCTAGATATTTACCTGTAGTTATAGTACGAAAACGTTCCTGGCCTGCGGTATCCCATATCTGAAGCTTGATTCTTTTTCCATCTAGTTCAATTTTCCTAATTTTAAAATCGATTCCAATGGTAGTAATAAAGGAGGGCGTAAAAGAGTCATCTGAGAAACGAAGTAATAACTTTGATTTGCCAACAACTACAAATCAATTTCAGAATTTATAAAAATACAGTAAAAAAAATCAAAGTAAAGCGTTTAATTACGAGTGGTGCAAAAAAATCATGAAGACTTATAAAAACATGTTTAATGCGATTTAAAGTTTTAATCTTACATTAATGCCGTAAACAAGTAAAAAAAACTATAAATATGCTAACCTGAATCTCCAATTAATAAAAACTTCATAAGATAATCATATGCCGCCGATTTTGACTGCGCCATCTATCTATTGCAAATTTTACAAGCCCGAGTGATTCAAATGCGAAAAAATGATTTAAAGCCGTGTAATATCATTGTGGCGTAATATGCAATCTTTAAATTTTGTGATAGCTTCGTGTTACAATATTGCTACCGACATCTCAATTTATGAGGTACAGTATTGTCCAGGGGCGACCGTCCCATCAATTTGTAGATCGTTACACAATTGATAAAGGTTTTTTTTATATTGTTTTACAAT